TGCAGCGGTATGAAGGAGAAGTTTTTATTGTTCGCTTACTTGCTCAACACACGCCCAACGTCCGCCCTTGATGATGAGCGTTGGAGTGGCGGCGGCTGAGGAGGCGGATGAGGAGGCGGCAGGATGAGCCCGCGAGCCGCGACGCCTTCATTGTCCTTCCTGATTTGCCTCCTGACGCTTATGCGGCTCTGCCTCACCAAAATAATGAAACTTTTGCCGTCTCTCTGTTGCTTTTATCGCAGTTTATTGTTAATGCTGTTCTACTTGCTGTTGTTGTTGTTGTTTTTGTTTTGGTTGATAACAGCTCAAACTTTTAACACGCGCGGTTCGTAATTTTTTAATGCCTGCGATGTTGTGATATTCTTTTTTGGCCAACTTTTTTGGTATTCTTTTTTTTTTTTTTTTTGGGTGTATGCCAACAATTTAATTTGTCATTAGCCCCGAACGCGGATCTATTTATATTGCTGTCCGCATTCGAATATAAAAAAGAACAAAATCGATTTGTTAAAATGGAATTTCTTTTTGATTTCCAAACCCACTCCAAGAACAAGTTTCCCGCAATTTGCCGCACGTTTCTCCTTCTTTTCCTTGTTTTTTTTTTCGTTTTTTTTTGTTCGTATATATGAAGTATAGCGTAAACACGTACAAGACGACCCACAATTCACGGCTTACGACTTACGGCGGTCATAAATGGAGTTTCGTATCGGTTTTTGTAGAGCCGCAAAATCGAAACACGCACACGCGAACTCCGCTGTCCAGCCGGTATTTCCTCACATACAAAATGATGTTTATTTTTTTTCGGTTTTCGGTTTTTGGTTTTTCTACCACTCGAGACAGATGCCAAGAATGTAACAGCAACTGTCACTGGCACTTTGGGTTACGTGTGTGACAAGTGGCCACAGGTTTCAATTGGCTTTCGTTGTGGCTTTTGTGTTTATTGCTGGCTCGCAGGCCTTTACTGCTTGCCCGTTTTGGCAGCAATGCGTGGCGATGAGCGCCTGCTCTGGTAACTGGCCACTGACTGAGTTGGGCCAAGACGGCGGGCCAAGTCCTTTGGCGGCAAATCAACACAGGATGCGGCGAATTCGAGGTAGAGAGCTTCTGCGCAATGCTTTTTGGCGGGAAAAGGAATTTTCGAACCTCGAACAGAGTTGTTCAGAATGGTAGTAGGGTGAAATTCAAAAACTTAAACCGATTTTCAGTTCAAATAACAGAGATTTAATGGTAACACACACTTTTCTATAGCATACTTAAAAGGGCAAATGATGGTTAGGGCGTGCTCTACAACAAAGCCACTTTTTCATAGTACCTTCTGAGCAACCCTGCTGGTAGCCACCCCCAGAACAGCTGATAAGCATCATGCCACCCCAAAACCCACACCCTTCTGTAACACCCTGCCATCCTCAAGTGCCGAATTTGCCGCACAAAAAAGAAAAACCCCTCAAGGCGCTCAAGTCAGGACAACTATATAGTACCCCCACAATGCAGGGCGTCAATATTTGCATTTGTAATAAAAATATTTTGATGCCACCCAGCCAAAACGCGTGCGTAAATCTAAAAAAGATTTGTTATTTCAGCGCGTGTTCATATCGTGCAAATCAGACAGCAGCGGTAACAGCAGCAGCAGCAGTAACAACAACAAAGGGGCGGGCCAGAACAACACGAACACAACAGCAACATCAATGCCAGGACGAAATTTAGAAGCAGCAACAGCAACAACAGCTGACGATGGCAATATGCCGGCTTGAAGCTTGTCTCTGCACATGTCAAAGTTATTAAAATTTCATAAAAAATATATACTAAGGCGGGGGCGAGGCGAGGGTATTTGATTTAACGCTTGTTTTGTCACTGACAGTTGTGTGTTTGCTATTTAAGTGACGCCCCGAGTGACGGACTGTCTGATAAGGTGCAGGTCGCTCGGTCTGTTGTCTCCTTTAAATATTGAAATGTTGATGAGCAATAAGGCACCCATCATTGGGTGCCCTCTGCTCCGGGCCAAGAAGCGCGTGTCTATCACTTGTCACGGCCAAAATGGCGGGCCTTATGAGCGATGATTGCTCCGATGCCATCGTGAATCACTCACTTCGCAGCCGGTCGGTAGGGAAAATGGGTGCAATCTAGGCGCCGTGGTTGACTTTGATGAATGGAGTTTGATTTGAGTCGCATTTATTATGTATTGTGCCATCCACAGTGCACGTCTAATTTAAAAATAATAATTTCAAGCTTTTTTACGGTCCTCAAGTTATGTTATCAAAATATTCCACCTCTGTGACCGACACTTTAATTGACTGATGCATTACAATCGACCAAAAAAAATGTTAAGCAAATTTATTTGATTTGACTCGCCAGCAAAGCAGAATTAATTCAACCGTCAATGTCAATGTTTATTTTTATTTCACAGAAACTATTTGAACTTAATACTTGCTAAAAAAAAAAACAAAAAAATGTGCACAAAGAATAAACTGGTTTAAATATATCGTATTAAAATGATTTTTATTTGACTGCAAGAAGTTTTTTGGGGGAACCGAATTTTTATATGCCCTTGCTTTTAATATTTATTTTTTTGTTTTTAAATAAATGTATTTTTAGATGTATTTTTAAATTAAAATTAATAAAAAAATGTTCTTTTGGTACTTTGCTGACTTTACAAAAAAGAAACACATTTATACAACCTTTTCAAGGGTTTACATGCTTAAAATAACACAAAAGTTGTAGGTCTTTAAAAAAATCCTTTGGGCATTAATTTATTTCATTCGAAACAGATTAAAAGCAATTTTATTAATTGACTAGATTGCATAGCCAATCGATCATCATTTAAGTTCATTTTTTTGGCTTGCACAAATTTATTAACATTTTCAATAGACAACCAAACACACAGTGCCGCAGGCAGAGCTTCGTTTTTTCCTTGTGAGTTTTTAAATGCTGATAAAGTTTACACTGGGCTCTAATGTAAGGTGTGGAGCTTAAGCTGGCGTAGGGAAACTTTTCGAGGTGCTGTATGTCACCTTTTGCTAAATAAATTTAATATATATACAACTCTTTGGAATGGTAAAAACTTTGGCTCACAGGTGCTGGAGACCGTTTGTTCGGGCATTTAAAGCGAACCAAATGATCTGCCCCTTTGAGAGCGACTGCTATGATAAATTACTTTCCCAAAGCAATGGAGGGGTAGCGGTACGATATCATTGCCATGGCGCCGGTTAAATTACACACGCATTTGCCAAATAAAAATCACTCATTCGACGCGTGTGCCAGGGTTGTGCCACGTTGCCACGGGGCTTTTGAACAAATTTGTAATTTGTCAGCCGAAGTCGAGTCTTGACAGTTATTAGAAGTTTACAACTGTCGCCGGCAGTAATCAGCTTTACTTTTGTCCTGCTAATATGCTGTTAATGTACTTCGATGCGGACTGGGTATTTCGGGCTCCCGACATTATTTACTTTTCAGTTTGTCCAGAACTTTGCCCTTGGTAATCAGCAGCTGGGCCTGGGTGAAATTAAACAAGTTCGCTTTGCTATATTTGTAGTTTTAAATTTATTTTGCTTTTCTGCTTGTTTTCCAACTCAAAGTTTGTTATGTTGCTTTATAATACATCTGAATTTCATATTCACTTAGTTAGTAGCTTAGTTTGCCATTTACTTGTCTGCCACTCGAGGCCAGATTTGCTTGTCAGCTTGGCTTAATGTTAGGATCCTATTTTGTTTTGCATGGAAAATTGCACAACAAAACACAAAACAATGCAACGAAAAGTTCAGTTGTCAGTAATAATATTATAATAATAAATAACTCGCACGCACATATACACAGACTTGTCAATATACAAATACAAATTACACATACAATATTAGTTTGGGGGCTGCTGTTTATAAAAATATAGCAAGTTCTTTGGAGATTTAGGTTGCGCTCTTCTCTATGGTTTTATTTCATCTTTTTAAGGAAAGTCATATAATAAATACTTACTATAAATATAACATTTATTTAGACATCTATTTATACACTCTTTATATGATACATATTGAGCTTTGGCTCCTAATCCTTGTTTTCCACTCGACACAATAGTTCTATTTTATATTTTTGTTTCAGACTAGCTTGGGAAATCAGCATAAAAGTTGCTGTTTGTTTTTGTAAATTTGCTTTACTTGACAAATGTTCTTGACTTTCTGCTTGCTTTGCGGATTAATGGAAAATCAAAAATCGGTAACATTTTGTGGATTCGTTAGTTATTTATACAAAGTTCACAAAACTCTTTGTCTGCACTTTTGCCTTATTCGCCTTATTAGCATTACCATTGCTTTTCATCGTCGGAATTCAGTGTAATTTCGAATTTTCCTTGGGTTTTCGCTGGCTTTCTTTGTTGCGGAATATTGGGCCGCAATTGCTGGAATCAAGTTGCTGACTTCTGAAGCAGTACTCAAGCCTTGCCCTCACAGGCTACACAGTCAACTTAATTCCAGGAACTGCAACGCAATTGCCTTTCGTCCGACGCACCATTGAACTCGACACTAAACACTTTGAAACGAAAACAGTTTCGGGATTCGGTTCCCACACTACACACACACACACGTAATTTGGTTAGTCTGATATCGATTCACTATAAGTTGGTTAATTTATTTGGGCTTTAGCTTTGGTTTTTCCGAACGCCTGGATCCTACACTGATTTGACTATATATTTTCGCTATGTTTACTTGATATACGTTTTAAGGTTTACTTTGGTTTTGAGCATTTTCAATTCATGCGATTGTCGTTCAAATAACAATTGGGTTTAGCTTTGCTTTAGCTTCCGTAACTTTGTCGGGCTTCCTAATTTCTCTGATTTTAATTGCGTTGGGGGTGTGGTTGATTTTTCGCGCGGGGAAATCTCTTTCTTTTTTTTTTTTTTGCAGGACTTCTCTCGTAGTTGTCTATAATTTGCGGTCTCTTAATTGGCACAGTTTTAGCTTTAGCTCTTCGTTCTTTTTTCGAATCCCTATGTACACGCATAGCTCAGTGAGTTGCAGTGATTGCCATTTTGATTAATTTATTTTTGGTTTTTCATTTGAGTGAGCAAAATGCTTTGGGGCATACAGTTTTCCGATTGGCATACATATAGAGATGAGTTTACAACCTGTGCTTAATTTAGTCGTACAAAAATACTCAGTATTTACAACAAGATTTAAACGACACGAAAACATAAATAAATAAGTTAACCTACAAGAGCCCCGATCTGTGCTTCAGTTTGCAAAAAAAAAATATACATGTAGATTATTTTCAACAAAAAAAGCAATCGATGGGTGCACAGTGGCGGGCAAATGAAATGGCACGCTTCGAAGCATGATTGATTAATGTCAACATTACGAGTAAGTCAGCCAACGCATGAGATGAGCCGGCATATTAATTTTACAAATTAATGGAACATTTTAATTGCATTAAATTGATTCCTCCCCCCGGTTGCCGTTCTGCCATCGATTGATTCGCCGCCCCATCGAGCACTTTACATTTACACATGGCTGGAGGACGTCGAGGCGGCAGCATTGTTGTTCTTGTTCCATTTGTTGATGTACTCCATGGGTATTTCGATCTGGATCTCCTGCACATCGTCGCAGCCCGCCAGGCGGTCAACGTGCGACTTGGCCTTGTCCTTATCCCTGTCCCTATCTATATCCCTATCCCTGTCGACGGCAGCTGCCAACTGTCCGCCCAGACGAGATCCGCATTCGGACCCGCCCGCCGCCAGCCGTTGCCGCTGCTGGGCAATGGGCGTCAGCAGCGCCTCGTCCCTGTATTATAAGTTGTCCACCATCTGCGACTGGCGGCGATGCGAGGGCGTCGTCGAGTTGAGGTAGCTCTCCGAGTAGACGCTCTTCGCCCGCTGGTCATAGCGCAGGCTGGAGCGCCGGATGTCGATGTCCAGCGGCAGATGGCGGTCCTTCCACCAGTTGCAGAACAGGCAGAGCAGCGTGTTGCGGAACGCCTCCCGGAAGTCCCGATTGAAGTACGCGTAGATCAGCGGGTTGAGCGTCGAGTTGAAGTAGCCAATCCAGAACAGGATCGATACGACGATTTCCGGCACTTGGCACGGCTCGCATGTCATGGAGAGCGTGTACCTGCAAGCATGGGAAAAATATTATTGGCTTAATTTTGATTAAATACTAAACATCTTTAACCAAACATGGATTCAGGGCCATTGATTATTTTCTATTTTTTTTAGACTGTTGGAAATTATTCAATTGCCTTAAAATATGATATCTTAACTTATTAAAAAACAATGACTTAACAGCATCACATTTTTTAAATTTGGCCAATGCAAATAAACATATTTGTAAACTTTGTATAGTATTGTTACTAAAGATACTTTATAACCCTTTTAAAAACAAAAACAATTATGATTTACCTAAAGCTCTATACCTAGAAAATGACAATTTATGTTACTTGAAAGTATCAACAATTAATAAATAACAAAAAATTAGTAAATAATAGAAAAATTAACAAATAAGATTGGAATACTCCGAGCGAGTTTCATATAAATGTACTGTAAGCTTGTAGTTTTAAAAAATGTATAACAAATAAAAATTAACAGTAACAATTGGTAAAAAAATATCTCTGTCTTTATTATGATTAAGTTTTCTTCTCAAAAGGGGTATTAGCCACCGTTTAAAATCTCGGTTCATCACATTTTGTCTGAGTATTTTATGCCATACTTATATGTACTCATATATGTACTTATACCATAATATGTACTCATAAATTCCAGATGCATGAGTGGGCCTGGGCTATGCATAAATGAGATTATATTTGGGGCGGTGCGAAAAACAACAACCGCCGAAATAATGGCGCACGGGTCGTATGAGTAATATTTAATTATGCATGCGTGACATTAGATAAATTATGCCCCAAATCCCATGTCAGCGGGATGCGTAGCCGTTCGACGGTACTCACCACAAAAAGAATGGCAGCCAGCAGAGGATGAAGGTGCCCATGATGATGCCCAGCGTGCGTGCGGCCTTGTGCTCCCGCTTCATTTTGATTAAGTGCTTGTCCTTAGTGGGGGTGTGCTCCTGCTCGACCTCGTGCAGCGTCAAAGTTTTCGACGAACCGGAGCCGCTCAGCGCCTCGCCTGCCGGAGGAGAAAGGACAGAGATTTGATAAATGCCCAGCCATCAGATAGGCCACAGAACTTTGTGCAATGCCACTGCATCACTTGCTAGGCTACGTATCAATCAAATTAGTCACACAATCCTCCTATTAGGATCAATAAGGCTTCTAGGCCATTCAGAAAACTAACCAATTATAAAGTATTTTTGTTGCATCCCCAAAAAAAGAAAATAAATAATTATTTATTTAATTTTAATATGTTAAAATTGGTTAAAGGACTAACGGGTACCTTATATTAAAAACACTCGATTAAAGCGTTACTTCTTGTTTTTATTTGATTTACATAGTTTATAAACCTTTCTTGTTTAAATTTATTAAAAACTTGGTAATTTTTAAACAGAAAAAGAGTGCAGAGTGTAGACTTCGTAGTCACAGTCTTAAACTGTTTACATAGAAAAAAACGGATTCAATCAGTCGTTATCACCGACCTATAAATAAATATGAACTGCACCTATGGTATCTGTAAATATTATGTACTTTCATTTGTGTACACAGCTGGTTGATATTAAATAAATAAATAAACAAAAGTAGCAAATCATTTCCATATTTATGTTAATGAGCTTAAAGTGCAGGGCACTTTAATAATAATTTTCACCTTGGCAAACTAACTTCTCAGATACATTGCACTACATACCAAATGGGCAAATGGGGTCAACCACTCTGGGCTGAAACTCACCTGAGGGCTGCATGGAGGGGCGGTGCATGAGCATCGCGTTGCCGTGGCGCATCATCAGCTGCTTCTCCTGGCGATTGGCCTCGCGGAAGATGGCCAGGTAGGTGAAGATCATGATGGTGCAGGGGATCCAGAACGAAATCGAGCTCGAGATGACGGCGTAGTACTTGTTCACCACGAAGGAGCACTGGTCCGGATTCTCCACGACGAACACCTTATGCTGGTCGGTGGTGTACCAGCCGATGAAGATGGGCAAGAACGAGAGCAGCGCCGGCGATATCCATGTGTTCAGCAGCATAATGCCGACGACGCGTTTCGTCATGCTGATGGGATACTTGAGCGGCTTAACAATCGCATAGTATCTGCAAGGGACGTGAAAATGCCATGTTATTGGTGCTCCACATGCGGGTTTTTGGCTCTGAGAGGCCGCTTACCTATCCACAGATATGCAGCATAAATGCAAAATACTCGCTGTTGAGAAGTAGACATCGAGGCTGTTCCACAAATCGCACAGGAAGGGGCTGAAGAGCCAGCTGAAAGAGTCCAATCAAAGGAGGCATCAATATCGCGATGATTACCCATATAATAGCGGGGCCATATACTTTGGGCTTTAGCATTTGAAGTCATTGTATCTGATTATCGAATGCATGAGTTTGCACTTTCTATTTGTGATGATTCATTTCTGTGTTTTTGCCTGACTTTTAAAATGCCTGGCTAAATACGTTCGTGAAGTCATCGCTATAAAACGAAATTCCGTTTCCCGTTTTTTTTTTTTATGAAAAATTAAGTTTTAGTATCACTTTCTGAATGCACATTTAACAAGTATTTTTTACTCCAGGAAACTTAAGTTTTATGGGCTTGCTAAATCAGTGGCCAATAAAGTTAGTTATTAAATAAATAGTAAAATAACTTTTGGCTTTTGGAAACATCGTAATAAATTTCTAAGTGGTTTTAAGCAACAGTTTTTATGCCTTTAATTTAAGTGTTTATGGCGGCATTAAACTAATAAGTCATTGAGCTATTTTCAATCATTGTTGTTACTTTAAACTAAAATACACAGGAAGTGTGGATCATAGAAATAATGGTAGCAATAAATATAATAATCTACTTTTGGCTTTTGGAAACAAAGTAATAAATTCTTACGTGGTTGTAAACGAAAATTTGTATGCCTATAATATTAGTGTTTATGGCTGCTTAAAACTAAAAAGAACAAACTATATGAAATTTAAGCTAATTTTAACGATTATTGTAATTTTAAACTAAAAGACAGAGGAAGTGTGGATCGTAAAAAGTCAAGGAATAAGTTCAAAAAAGGAGGTCTCCATTTAAACGGCATTTCACTGCCAATTCCTGAATGTAGGCCAGTAAAAAAGTAAAAGCGACCCAGACAATCCACTCTCCTCTGGCCCACTTTGTTATCAGTCCGCCTGATTTATGTGTTTATCGATTTCATCTTAGTTTTGGTTGCCAGGTGACATTGCCCCTGAACTGCCTCTGTTGAGGGCCAAATTAAAAGCTTAAGTGCACTGTGAGACCAGAAAATAGGCCATAAGGCTCGGGGCATGGGAGGGGGAGAGTGGGGGGAATGGGGAGTAGGACGGGAACTGGGCTGCATGAAAAACTCATTAAAACTTGCGTCGCTGTTGCTGTCGGTGTCGCTGTCGCCGTCGCCCTTGGTTGCCACTCCGTTTTGGCCGTTTGGCGGAGGCGGCCACCCAGCCTTTTGGCCAGGAGGCAGTGGAATTTATTATCGGGCGCCCCGTTTGGCATCAGTTTCAAAAACTTTTCGACTATCCAGCGAGGCTGTTTTGGTTGTTGGCGTTTTTGGGGGAGGGCGATTCCACACCATTCCTTCGGGGCGCCCTGGCTTTGCAGCTTAGGCCCTGAAATGGCGACACCACTTGCTGTTGGCTGCAATTATGCAACTTTGCAACTGGCAACTGGCAACTGTGAAGGTGATACGGCTAATGAATGCCAAGTGGAGGTGGGGGTGGCTGCTGCCAGAAAATCAGGACGACGCGACACCAGCCGATGCCAATTTATATGCAACTTGCGCTGCTGAAGTTTTTTTTTGGCCTGGCAGTAAGTGCACATAATGTGACTTGAATGGCCCACCGACCCCAAAAACCCCTTTCCCCCCACCAGCCCCACGTCATCGCCACCATTATCGCCATCTCGTTGTCGCCGTCAGTGGCATTGCAAACATTTGCATTGCACCCTGTGCTCGACGCTCAAGACGAGCTTAAAGCTAGGCCTTTAAGCCAGCTTCCTTCGTGCATAATTAACTGGGCTCAGCCGACTGCACTTGGCAACGCGTCCACATATCGCATTACCAACATGCCAACATATCAACATACCAAAGACGGTGTCGGACTGTTGGACCGTCGCGACGGACTTTCGGCGTGAAGGATGTGACCATGTCACACTCTGACGGTTTCTGTCCTTTGGAATAGCTTTTCAAAGTTGTCGTTTCCCTCTCAGTGGGTACTTCTTACTTATGCGTTTAAATGGGTTATTTAAGGCCATAAAAAAACGAATATTTGGTTTGAAATTGTTTTTTTTAATATCTAAACTTTATTATTTTAAACTTAATAAAATATATTATCAAATATTAACCATGGCTTAAAATTTCTTCAATTCAATTGAAATATTCATATTTCTGTAAATTTAAACACAAACATTGTTAAACATTGTTATGAAATTCAAAAATTTTACGTTAAAATAAAATAAATAATTTGTTCTATTGCTAGAAATGTTAAGGACATTTACTTACAAAGTTATGTGAAGGTAAACATAACTTTGAAGGTAAACATAACTTTGTTAGTAAATATGTCCACTAAGAAACACTTTTAAAATCAAGTAACGATTTCGGGCTAAAAATATTCTACCTTTTTTTTAATTTTCTGTAAAGAGCATTCAAACTAAAAGTTTGCAAACTTAAAATCCGAAAGTTAAAATGGGTATCCTGAAATCGTTTTCTTAAACGAATGCCTTGCTGTTTGTTCTATTTTTCACATTTTAATTCTTGAACACAAATGCACGCACATGGGCACACAGAGATGACTTTCTGCATTTGCATTTTCCTCCCACAACCACGTAAATACATGCAAAAAAGTCGGTCTGTGTGTGTGTGTAAGAGAACTATATGTACGTATACGCACACAGACTAGAACATTCACAGGGGCATAAATAAACGTTGCTTTCATTTTTCAGGGATTTTTTGTTTTTGGTTGTTTGTTCTACAACTGCCACGCCCACGTCCAGGCCCAGGCCCACGCCCACGTCCACGACCGCCCAACCACCCAACCACCCATGCACCTTGGATGGCTGGACTGGCATTTTATTTGGTCTTGCCTTTGGTTGCAGCTGTAATTTTTGCAACAGTTTTGCCCGCTTTTGTTGCCCTGCTTAGGCTTTGTGTGTGGCTGTGTGTGTATGGGGTATTTTTTGTTGCCGTTTGTTGTTGTACTTACCGCCCAGTTACTTGCACACTAAAGTTAAATGTCATGGCCATAATAGCGACCATTATATCAGCCATGGCTAAGGAAACTACAAAGTAATTCGTTATAACTCTGCAAAGAGAAGAAGGAAGAATACGAGATGTTAGCAATCAGAGGACAATATCCCACAATATAGTGCATAAGAGGGGGTCCTTTTTGCCCCCCGTGGGGGCTAATCAGGATATATCGTATGAGTGAATGCGTGAACGGGGACTTCTATTGTACGAGTTGACAGTTTGGACCCCTCGGGCGGTTTGGTGGGATGCAGATGTGGGTGCATTCGGCAGCAGCGGGGGGGTGTAATTGAAAAGCCAGCCAAGAATCGAGAACGATGTCGATACACAACGAAAAATCAGATATATACCGGTAAAAATCGACAAACAGAAGGGGGCATCGGCAAACCTCTGGGCAAACATTTATACCTATTTTGTTATTTAAATTGAATTCAAAGCCGACTGCTGGCAAATGCTCTGGCCAATTAGAGTTTTGGACTAGTTGCTGGCCGAAGGACTCTCTAATCGGACAAGTGAAGCTACCTCATTGAACTCCAGGCGGCAGCCTTTCATTTGCCATTCTCACTAAGTCAAATGGGAAAAGTTTGAATTCAAAACTGAGCCTTTTCTGCGCTCGAAAACTTTTGGTCAATTATGTTAATATGCGGGCGCTTCAAATGTAATTTAATATTTTCTTTTTGGATTGTGGCTAAAATCTTTTTAGTGTCTTTTATGCGTTTTGTGCAATTTCCCAAACTTTATATATTGGATACACCACAAAAATGGGTATTTTTAGGAAATTGCATTTAATATTAGGAATAAAAAAGCATTCCATGATTTAATTTCTTTAAAATTATTTATTGAATACTGTAGTCTTTTAAATATCGCAATCTTTTTTTTCCAGAAACTCACTTTTCATTTTCCATAAAATTCTCAAGCATAATTGTATAGGCCTTGAAATATAATTTAAAAAAATAAACAAAAAATCAAACTAAGAGATGATAAATAAAAAGGTGAATTAAACTTTAATTAGACAATAACAAAGTTAACTAATTAAAAATAAAAGTGAATTTAATAATACAGTGAATTAATTATTAATAAAATTAATTCAATAGTAATAGAGTGAACGAAATCAATAAATTCTGTTTGACCTATTTACATTTGCTGTGGTTTTCAGGCCTTATGGGCGGTAAATTCTCTTATCCATCGCATCTATTGTTGCCATTAAGTTACATTAATCTTATCTTCTGCTTAGTTTCAAGTTGGCTGTCTGGGCATGGTAATCTGTTTTGCCCGGGGCTACTACTTAAATAACTTTCAGCGTCTTAGACGTTAATTGCAACAAATCGACGCCATTTTGAAAATGTTCCGCCATTACTTAGCTGCTCCCTTTCCCCCTCTTTCCCCCCTCTTTCCCTCTAAGTTGAACTGCAGATAATTTGCCTGCCATTTAAATTTAAGAAAAATAGCAAAAAGAAGTTTCCATGGAGGGAAAAGTGAAGGCGGAAACTGTTTTCGAGCATCCTTCAACTGAAGGCGCTGCGTTAATGAGTCTCCGTCCCCCTCTTTTCCCCATTTCCCACCCGTTGTAATGGCAAATTAAAGCACACACATATATCCAGATTCTAGATATATCTGCTTATACACTCAACAACTAGAGCACTATGTTCTGCGTCTCATCTCGGCCAAATAATTTGTGTGGAGGAAAGAAAGCGGAATTTTATTGTTTGGCATAGAACATTTTAAATTTATGCTGTCATAAAAACCATAAGCTGCCTTAATTGCCAAAGTTGTAGCCGCGCTGGGTGTGTGTGTGTGTATTGTTTTTGTACTTGTTCTCGGTTCCGCGGCCTTCCCCTCTACACTTCTTCTTTCTCATTCCCCCCAAAACCCACCCAACGAACACCACCCACCTCCACCTCTCGTGTTCAGCATGCATTTTGTTTTTGTTCAATTTCTCTTTGAGCTACACGCTCGCAGTGTTTAATTGTCATTCTTTGCTAGCTGGGTGTGTGTGCTTTTTTTGCGTTTGTTAACTTTTCCACATTTTTATTTCCATTGCCTTGCTTCACGCTACGTATGCGTATTATTTGCCGCTCAGAACAATGGAATTTTTGCCGTAAGCTGACCATGTGGAAGAAGTTTTAACATTTGGATTTTCAGTTCATTAGTTGCCACATGCATTGGCCATAGCTTGCCAAATAATTAATTTCAGCATGGTTTTCGCACGAGCCGAAATAAGCAAATTTAAGTTTGTGCATTACAATTTATTTTCTTTAATACAATTTGATTTATAGGGAACCTTGAGTAAAATACTGACTCAAATCAACTTCTTCTGATAGCTGCTACTTAAAGTTTTTGATACAGCAAGTTAATCCCTTGGCCAGAGGGTCTAAAAACTCTTATTTTTTCAAGTTTGATATCAGTGCAACAAAATTATCTTGATGATCATCCATCGTCATCATCATTAGTTGGGCCTGTCTTGGAGCAACGGAATCCACTGGCACGCAAGTCACTTAAAAAATAAAACGCTTCTCATTAGCAGCCAGGGCAAAAATATAAATTAAGCGGGGTTCAACCTTAATTATGCCTCGCTTTTCCCTTTTTATCATTAAACATTTTTTCAGTCTCGTTTTGCTGTGCCATCCAACAAAGTTTGTTTGTTTCGCCTTTTGGCTTCATTGCCCTTCGCCAACTTTGGCTAAGAGTATTTAAAGTTTTTCCTCTGCTGAGTAAAAAAAATAAACCTGCGTAGAAAGCTTAGCAGGGAAAAAAATTAGCAGGAAAAATAACTGAGCGTTTGTCAGCCAGAAAACAAGTTTTGATTGCGTCGGCTTTATGAAGCGCCAAATTGATTTGCCTGCCCGTTATTAAGGCATAACTAAAAATATTAACGAACCCGTGCCAGCTGACGTCTCATCATTTATCACTAGAAAAGTTTGTTTTTATGATAATGTGATTTTCGTCGAAGGACGCAGCCCCAAAAAGGCCCCACCCTTCATTAGTTAACGAGGTCGCCCGAGAAATTGACAAGTTTGTGGTGTGTTTTTTTGGCTCTAGCATGTATATGAAATTTTGAATATGAAATTTAATTTGCCCATTAGTCATCAAGCCCAGATATTGGAGCCCTCAAATGGAGCAATAAATTCTAGACCTAAAGCCAAAGCACTGCGCAATGTTTTGATTGGTTCCACAAATATTTATGGCTAGTTTAATTTCCATTTAAATTCAGCAGATAAACGAAGACCTGAGGTTGATGGACAATGAATTTAGCCAAATTAAATCATTACCCAAGCGTCCAATTAAGAATCCCTCTTAATATGCAAATTGGATTCATGAATAAAGTCATGAAAGTTAATTTGTCGTTAAAATAATGCATCTCAGTTCCTTTGCTGTAACCGCCTTCTTCGCTAAATGGTGGAAGTAAATATTGCAGTCTCATGCCGAAACGACGCATAGAGCACAGCTGAGATGCTCAATTATGAGCTGAGTAAATAAGGGCCAAGGAGTCTGTATAAAATACGAGCTAAGGACGAGCAATGACAGAGCAAAGCGAGCACAAAAAGATGTCCTGCAGCACGTTTTTCAGGGGTGTATCTTTTTGGAATAGGGAATGAATAAACGGGAGAAACGTTGCGGACGTGCATGAATTTTATGCAAAGTTGACGAAAATCGCGTTTAGAAAGCGAAGCGCTTTGTAATTTTTTCGTAAGTCGGCCAAGAGGTAACGCTGCAAATTGGCAATCAAGCCAGCTCGAGGACAATGCCGCTGGCATGGAGCAGTTTTATGCAAATTACGAACGAATTACACGGAGCGCGAGCAGTTCTAATTGCTTTTTCACATTACATCACAGCTAATTATGGCTGGGGCAGCTTAAATATCACGTATACGCACCTTAATTTTCTAACACGCATCACAGAAATAATAACAAGCAGATTGCCGCAGATGGCCGCAATAATGATGAGCAGCATAACGAAGGCCTTGAACACCCAGAAGATGTTGTCCAGCCAGTCCTCGTCGGGATTGAGTCCCAGGCCAGGATCTTTGTATCCGCTCTCGTTGAAGATCAGGCCCGCCGCCGTGCTGCTCAGCAGCGTGGCGTTCAGTTCGTGCGATGGGGGCGTGGCAGTGCCCGGCAATGGCAGTGCAGATCCGGCGGATGACGATGAGGATGCGGATGACGATGAGCTGGTGGCCAGGGCGTTCGTTGTGTGCAACATGGCCGCCGTGGTGAGAGCGGCCGCTGTGACCCGCGCCAGTGTGAGACTCTGGCGATGGCTATAGCTAGGGTTCGGAGACTGCTGTTCCGGCTCCAGATGCTCCAACTGCTCCTCCTGATTGCCACAGCAGCATTTCGGTCTCTTGCGTATCCTGGCCGCACTGGTGCGATGCCTTTGCCGCGGTGGCTCTGGGCCAACAACTTCGGGGCACAACAACATGAGTGTGATGGCGTGTGTTGTCTTGCTTTATTTTTTTCTATACTCTTTCTTTGGCTTTGGTTGCTTGCCACTTGCCACTTAAACACTGTTTCTGGTTTTTCGCACTTCTATTTCGGAACAACACCCACTAGAACCGCCATTGGAAATTCACGACACGCGTATCGCCGGCGACGTTGAAACCAAAACTGAAACGGCCACCGCAACGGAAATTGATTCGCGAAAGTGGCCGGGCCAGCACCGTGTGGCCACGACAACGTCGCCGCGTCCGCTGCCGCTGCCTCTGTCTCAGCCTCAGCCTCAGTTTCAGCCTCCGTTGACAACGTCAACGACCAACAGCCAACGACCACTGTCCTTGCCAGCCAACGCCGCCCACACGCTCTCGATGGCCTCGCTTTCCCGTTGATTTTCTGTAGCTTTTCCGCAGCTTTTCCGCCGCCGCCGCTGCTTCTGCTGATGGAGGCTACTACCTACCACTACCACCTCTTCGCTGGACGACGACAATTTCTGGCTATTTACTATGTGTGTGGTGCGGCTTCTATTTTTCTATTTTTCTATTTTTTGTAATTTTGTGGCTGCTGCTCGCTGATTGGGTTTTTTTCTAGCTCCAAGCGGTTGCTTTTTAATTTTGTTCATATTTTTTTGCCGCCGCGGTTGCTGCCGCCTTGTGTAGCCGACGAAAATTCGTTGATTTCTTTTAGTTTTATTTTTAACATTTCTTGGGCTTCAAATTATTTTTAGTTTGTTTCGGTTTCGGCCAAGTGGTCGGTTTTTTTAGCTCTGCGCCCACTAATTCAGATATTGTTATTCGATGTTATGCCTCCTGGAACTGTGCCATAAATGGTGGATCGGAAAAAAAAAAAAAGGAAAAAAAAATCAAAACGAATATTAAGAGCATGGAAAAACATGGGCTCTATTTTCTTTTTGTTGCCCCGATTATAATCACTTTTGTACATTATCTAGTTGTTGCCGCCGGCATTTGTATTGATTTGAGTCAATATTTGTTTATTTACTGACGCAGAAGTTGAGTTGTTGATGTTGTGCGTGTTTGCGGACTTTTATGCGAATCGAACAGGGTGTATTTTTATACCCTTGCAGAGGGTATTATAATTTCAGTCAGAAGTTTGCAACGCAGTGAAGGAGACGTTTCCGACCCTATAAAGTATATATATTCTTGATCAGCATCACTAGTAGAGTCGATCTAGCCATGTCCGTCTGTCCGTCCGTCTGTCCGTCTGTCCGTCCGTCTGTCCGTCTGTCAGTCTGTCCGTCTGTCCGTCTGTCCGTCCGTTTATATGCAAACTAGTCTCTCAGTTTTAAAGCTATCTGCATGAAACTTTCCCAAAAGTTGTCTTTCTATTGCAGGTAGTATATAAGTCGGAACGAGCCGGATCGGACGACTATAGCATATAGCTCCCATAGGAACAATCGGAAAAATAATTGAAAAAAAATTATAACTTTGCGGTTTTTTAATTTTTTGTTTAGTTCTTCGACATATAGCAATGGTTAAATAATTCAGAATTATGGTTTAAATTACATCAAAATCGGACGACTATAGCATATAGCTCCCATAGGAACAATCGGAAAAATAATTGAAAAAAAATTATAACTTTGCTGTTTTTTAATTTTTTGTTTAGTTCTTCGACATATAGCAATGGTTAAATAATTCAGAATTATGGTTTAAATTTCATCAAAATCGGACGACTATAGCATATAGCTCCCATAGGAACAATCGGAAAAACAATTGAAAAAAATTATAACTTTGCTGTTTTTTAATTTTTTGTTTTGTCCTTCGACATAAAGCAATGGTTAAATATTTCAGAATTATGGTTAAAATTTCATCAAAATCGGACGACTATAGCATATAGCTCCCATAGGAACAATCGGAAAAATAATTGAAAAAAATTATAACTTTGCTGTTTTTTAATTTTTTGTTTAGTTCTTCGACATATAGCAATGGTTAAATATTTCAGAATTATCGTTAAAATTTCATCAAAATCGGACGACTATATCATATAGCTCCCATACAAATAATAAAAATATATAAAAGAACAATCAAATAATTAAGCTGCAAATCGTCATAGCTTCAATGTTTTTAAACATATACGCAAGTAAATCATAATTTTAATGTTTTCAAAAATATTTAATTCTTGCGATAGCTGCAAGGGTATATGAACTTCGGCTTGCCGAAGTTTGCTTTCTTTCTTGTTTTTAAATAAATCACTGATTATGGTTTAAAAGGATTATAATCAGTGAGGCTTAACAAATGGCTTTTTTATTCACTTATCCAGAATATACTGCACTCATTTACATATCCAATGGTAGTCTAATTAATTATGTTTTAATAAAACTCTGCAAGCCTTTACTATTATTATAGTTCAATATCTAATCCCAACATTAATTTTAATTCAATATATTTTTGCCAATTGCTTCATAAAATTAATTTTGAAAACGAAATATAAAATTTTACTTTTTGATCTTCAAAGGTGTCCTATTTAATACTCATTGGTTTAATAAATGAGCTTAAAAAGCGATTCATTTTGGTAGTTTTATTAGAACTACATAAATCCTGATACAAAAATACATATTTATATCCCAATTTTTAAATCAACAGATTCGATAAGGCCAAAATTACTACCTAAATTATGTCATCTAAATAAAGTCTACTATCTTAAGTCCAGATCTTGACTGCTCCAAACTCAATAGCACACCCTGTAAAAAAGCAATGATTTATATGACAACAGCTGGGCGAAAGAATGTCACTCGTTTCAAATGCCTTTAGCATACAGCCGCCATATCTACATCTATATCTCGATGAGTATATTCCGCTCTGGTCGGTGTCTTCGGCCCTGTGCCCCCCGACTAAGTGGTGGAAAAGTGGGGAAAATGGGAAAATGTCCTATGCCATTTTTTGACGCCCCTCGCCGGGATATAGCGCACTCATTTAGAATGTAGAATATGGCTTTGGTTATGTGCTAGTCTATGTCTATATATTATATTTATTATTTCATTCCGATATATATTCATATTTATTTTTTCCCGAATTTATTTCCTGATGATGATGTTTTATTTTCGTGTTCGCACACGCTTTCAACGCTCGCATCTTGGCCGACTGTTTGATGTTATGCTCGCAGCTGTGGTTGTTGCCAAATGGCGTACAACAAATTGGCCACTCGAGTTTTGGTGGCCACGAGCTCTAAATTATACGTTGGTCACTCGCGTAGGGGTTTTTTTTTGTTATTTTTTTTTTATTTATTATACATTTTCCGAGTTGATGTTGATATTTGCGTTTTGGTTTTGGATTGTTCGGTTTGAGTTTCTCGGATTGCAGACTGTTAATTAGGGAAATGAAAGTGTCCACACGCTGAAGTTTGCCGTTGTGAGTGAAGCCACATGGCGAAGGGTTGCTGATTTTCCTGCCACGCCCTGGCGCTTTTCCAAGTTGGAGAGCAACTGCAAAGAATCAAAGGGGAAAAAGTGAATACGGTATAAGAAAAATATTATTTAAGCATACATAAATATTGGCGAACAACAAAAGCAAACATTGGAAAACACTGTGTTGGCCAAATATATTTTATAAATAAAATACAACAATTTTTTTTAATGAACGCCCAGCTCATCAAAGTGCTGCCGCAGAGGCGTTGCTTGTTGTTTTATATTTGTTTTTTTTTTTTTTTTTTTTTTTTTAAATTTTAAAATTTATAATTTTGCACTGGGCGGCGGCAGCACTCTGGCTTGAAGGCGCGTGGGCGTATAATTAATTTTGTGGCAAAATGAATTTCCCTCAGTTTTATGTATAAATAGATTAAAAGTTGATTTAATTAATGGGCTCTCCAAGTACCGAGCGGTGGGAGTGAAAGGGCCGAGGCCCCAAAAAATCAGTCAGATATCCAAGTGTGTATTTCCCCAGCGAATTTGTCAGCAAACACGGAATCTCAAACGGCCAACGCAGAAGGTTTACGGATGAGTGACAAGCGATGACAGAGTCCCGGCAACGGAAGCACGAGCTATGGAGCCCCAAAATGCGCCGGACGCAGCTGTCTTGTATCTGCGTATCTGTATCTGTATCTCTGTCTCCACATCTATCTACATCTATGCCATGTTTCCAACGTGCAGTTAACGACGACACATCGGCAGGAACATTAGCGGCAGCCAAATGCCAATGTTAATGTCATGAAAATCATTTTTTAAATTTAATTTAGCTCTGCGCACTCTTTAAATACACATTGTACATATACGTTAGTTGCGCCTGTTCGCGACTACGCCGATTTTGCTCTTGGCATTGGACGGCCTCGACTGCTAAGTTTCTGGTTTGTGCGGCCAAACTGTTGCCAAAATTTCGCGGCAAAGAAAAATGTGCATCGTAAGTGTAGGTAGGGGAAATATCAATAAACTCTGTGCTCGAAGATCCTGTTCCAGATTCGGTCTTCTGGGGCCCAGCTAATTAAGCTTAACACACTTTCCAGCACTTGCTTTGGCCATTTTGGGGAAGTAAAAGCTTCGTGATGCCGTATCTTGTTTAAAGTTTTAATTAATTAACTTGCATTTATTTTTATTTAATAAACAAAACTTTCGTTCTTACACGCACCCACGAAATTCTCTTTTCTCCATCTCCCCCTTGGCGAGTGTGTCGCCCTTTATTTGCTCTTGGCAAGTTGCCACGCCCCCACACTTACACCTGCCTCATCCGCCCATCATCACCACACACCTGAGCTGCACCAAATGGTTTTATTTAAAATGACTGTTTTAATTTCGCCAACTCAAATGAGTTTTTTGGATGCCATCAGGTTTCTTGCTTGGCAAAATTTATAATGAATTTGTGGCCTGCTAATTATGAAATTATTTTTATTAAATATCATAGTATTATGTGAATCAGAATATATTTTATAATAATTTATATTATTTTTATAAAATTTCCCTGCCTTTTAGTTTTAAAATATATAAAGCAATTTTATTTAAACCAAATTGAAATATTCCTACTTAATAATACCATTGCATATTACAATTAATTTTAAAACAAGTTTTATGTCTGTATCAGATATGTTATAAAAAATGCAACAATTTTATTTTGGTTACCGAAGCATTTGATATTTGCCATAAACTTTTTTTATAACGATTCAAGAATACAATTTAAACTACAAGAATACAATCGGTCAAGCTTCTACATTAAAACACCGAATTCGACTCACAATAGACTCTTAACGTTCTTCAATTAATTCAGCGCACAATTCAAAAGTATTTTCGTTCATTGAAAGCGTAGAGAGGGAATTGATATTTGAAAATAAAATCCATTTTATTTAATTGCCTGCGTCACTTCACTGGACACACACACACACACATTCGGACATATGGAGAAGAGCGAATGATGTTTCTGTTTTTTCATTGCTCAACGAAAACAATTTTAATTTCATTAAAATTTTTTATACCGCCGCTGGGTCTGGCCCCTTTTATGTTAATTTTGTATTCGGTGAATTCAGTTGTGTTGACAAGGTGCTTGACTGACAAAATAACCCATCAAATGTCGCCATAGAACAACAGAACAACAGAGCACTGGGGAAATCAACATTCAAGTGCCAGAGAGTGGATTGTCCGCAGGCTCTTTTAATGCAAATAAATTGTGGGCCGATTAAAGGCGACTTACGCTGATGGATAGATACATCATAATGAACATTATAATCAGCGCAACAGCATCCCCATCAATGCAGTGACACACTTGAACTGTTAATGGAATCCCAGTCCAATTTTGTCACGCAGCCTGCAAATAAATCACATGAATAAAGCCCCATGTCCCCGGTTCGGTGTCCCATTTTTCGTTGTGTGCATTGGCTA